AATATTACTTAAGACCCTATTACGAAGACTGGACTCAATAGAATCAACAAACGTATCAGAAAAGAAATCCAGTAATACAAGAAGGAAAACTAGAATGATAAAATTGCAGAGCTAGAATTGTACAATGATTCCTTCTGGCGCTTCACAAAGATGCTTAAACGTACTCACCAGCATGACAGGCCAGTTGCGTACTTAATGGGGTTACTGTCAGGTTTTTGCCACACATTTAAAAGAGCAGTTTACTCCAATTATGACACCCGGCAATTTTCAGTTTGTACAGCAAGTTAATAAAGAGGTTAATGAATAGTTAAAAATTCTCATTGCACGTAACGCAAGTGGGCTCACAACACCGAGCGAAGTCACCAATATCATTCCCAAGTTAAATCTCAAGAAAGCTCCAGGCATAGACGGGGTAACCCACCTTATGATTAGAAACCTACCCCGCTGCGGGATATGCCAAGATTTTTCTACTTCCAAAACATGCAAAAGATATCACTAAAGCTGAAAATCACCGACCTATAAGTCTGCTTTAAAATCTTGCCAAAATCTTTGAATTATTTTGAACAAGTTTCAACCGTACTTACGACTATTGCCTGACAAGCAGTACTGATTTAGGGGCGAATTGTCCACCGCAAAACAGCTCATCAGATTACTAGAATTCATTGGCTTGGCTTTACATCACAAGAGCTGCACTAAATTACTCATGCTAGAGTGGCCATAGCGTTCGATTGCTTCTGGCATGAAGGTTTAATCTACAAATTAATTAAATTGAATCTCCCAAGAGAATTAATTCTGCTCACTCACTCTAATATCACCAACAGATACGGTGAGCTGCAGACAAAGCTTCTCAGTATACAAAGCTATTTCGGCTGGAGTCCCCTCAAGGGTCTGTTTAATGCCTATCCTCTACTTGTTCTATGCAGTGAATTTTCCACGGTCTAAATTTAACAAGACCAATCTACTGGCTTACTACGCTTAGCAGTCACGTCTACTTACCCAAACAGAGCCATTAGCGTTTTTCAAGCTATTGTGCTCGACATTGAAGTGGAGAATTTCCATTAACGCTGTTAAGTCGCAACTGCTCTTGATGCGCAGAAAGAAATTGAGAATTACTGCACAGCCACTTTATTTCTTGGGACAAAGAGTTCCACAAGGTGACAAGCCCAAATATCTGGCAGTGTGCATTAACCAGCGACTCACGTGGAGTACACACTTTAATTATGTCTCAAATAAGGCGAGATGAATAGCTCAACAGCTGCAAATCCTTCTAGGGAGATGTTTCGAATTTGGATCTACGTAGAAAAAGGCAGATATATATTTCGATACTTAAGCAGATCATGTGCTATACTTAAGCGATTCGCATTGAAACAAACACCCAGCATAAATAAATTTTCGTCTGATATAATTTTTTTGCACATTTACTTCAAGTCTGCGCAGCACCGATCACCAATTGTAGCATGATTTCATGAGAAAAATTAAAAGTGAATCACAGTATAACAATGAGATATAGTGGTTAGATGATATCTAATCACTATATCTCGATATAGTGATTAAGTGGTTAGATAATATATAATCACTATATCTCGATATAGTGATTAGATAAGAATTATATATAATTCTTACCTAATCAATCACTACATCTTATTTCATTCATTTGTGCTTTGGCATCTGAGATTAATGGTTCGGTAAAATCATCGGAATTAGTCCTGTGAAAATTTGCAAATATAATGTTGATTTTTGTTGTTTGACTTACTGAATGTTACTTTGAAAATACTTGTTCAGCGTATTATTTTATTTTAATCAGTAAGTTCTTTATTCTCTGTTTTCTGAATCAGTACCCTGATCTATTAAGTAAGTAGCGAAGAAATCTTTTAAGTTTGCGAATTTTGCAGAAAAGGTACGGAAATTTTTATTTAATTAATTAAAATGTATTGACTATGTTAACAACTGACTGTTTTCCTCGACAAGGGACTATATAAAAATTTACATTTTACTACTTGCATAGGTCTTTCAGTCACTATGTAGCTTCTAAAATCAGAATTTAAGGAAATAATTCTATAGAAATATTTTTCAAGCATTCTTTGTTACATAGTAAACAAATGGAAATAAATATTCCCTCTTTCTGTACCTTGTGGCAAAGCTTGAAAACTGATGTTTGTTTTCAAGGCCTCAACTTCTACAGCAGAAATACTTGACATATTCTCTGTTTTATGAAAAACTGGTTTCATATGAAAAAAAAACATCTGATGTATTCAAATCTTTCTGTTCCCATGAATACAACCTAGGGTGCAATTATGAAAATTCAACAATTTTTCTTATTCAACCTTTAACTCCTGACTGCTTGGGAGTTTTCCGTAAGTGCAACGTAGTAACTAACCATTCCTCTTGAAAAGACCACGAAAGCATCCATTCCTTAGACAGATGGCTGTGTTCCCAAAAAATCCTTCTAACCCAATCTTATCAGCCATCGGTTTCTATGCAATTAATGGTCTGCAAATTAAATAAATTGGATAGTAAATGTGTAAAATAGTTTAATTTTAATCTAATATATATTTAATTTCACTCAAGTTTGTCACTGCTCCGCACTAAATTTTAAATGGCTGAGAAAATGGCAGATGTCTAGGGAATTAATAAATGATTTTGCAGACATGAAAATAACAAGAAACAAACTTTAATAAATTGTTTTGTTTTCTTTCTTCTTTTACTAATATTAGACATATAGACAGTAAATCCCCCCTCGTATGAATATAAAAATAAAATAACAGCAAAACTTTTAGAGGAACATTTTAAAAGCAGTCTTGGCAATCCCTAATTCGTCCTCATTGATTAAAAAAAATAAAAAAAGGCCTGCTCCCTATAAAAATTATGCATTCATATTTTTCTTAAAAAATATCATTTGGAATAAAAAGTATAGGCGATTTTATACAATGTAACAATAATATAGGTTATAATATGGTTGCTAATAAATACAGTCAAAAGTCATTAATTCGGACACCCATAATTCGGAATGATCTATAATCCGGACCTCAAAATTAAAAACTTTCTGCGCATGCGCCGCGTTGACACATGCGCATAAGACCTTTTACGACTGCGCATATGAGTGTGTGCAGAATACGTTTTCGCGTGCACGTTTTATGTATAATGGACGTATAAGCTAAATAATTATATATTTCAGTTAATGTTGATGATTGCGTTGTTCCTTAATTTCCGAATTGGATCCGGCTTATTATTTTTTGCAGACTGTAAGAGCAATTTTATAAAAGTAAGTTTAAACTTTCGATTATATCAAATAGAATTTCCGATATATATTTGTTAATATGTAAAGGATCTAAAGCGAAAAGTATGTTTTGAAATCCGAAATCTGTTTATCAATTCACGCTGCTCGGCGGGGGAAACGCCGCGCGGCGCGTAATGAATTGGAAGTTGATCTGTCAGCACTATCCTTATCTTCAGGCAGATGTTTTATTTTATTTGGCTTATAATTCCTTATCAAATGTAGTATTTCATCTCGATGTACTCCGTCTTTGATATGATTTAAATCAAGTTCCTCGTCATTATAATTCGCTTCCGATAGCGAAGAAAGTGACAGAGGTTATTGAAAACGAAAAAATTTCGATTGACAAATTAGTCAGTATTCTCGACACAGCAATTATAGGACTTGAACAGCGGAACTTTGTAACTGAACAAGAAATTACGTCTGTTTAATAGAATTAAAGAGAAAGTATTATCACATGAAACGAAGCAAAACTTAAACAACTTACATTGAAAGAAATGTTTAATAAAGTAAACAAATAAATATTAAGCTTTTTTCTTTTTTTTGTAAATTTTGATACCCTTTAGATCATAATTGTTCTTTATTTCATAAATTACGGTTTCATATTTTTAATTTTAGAATTTCTGCATGCCATCTTACGAGATTTAAACTGATGATTTATAATCCGGAAAAATCGATAATCCGGAATCGCCGAAGTCCCGACGAGTCCGGATTAAAGACTTTTGACTGTATTAAATTTTGCATAAGGGTTCTGGTATTATTTTTGTCTGATGACGAGACCTTCAGCACATCTCTGTTCAGCAACACAACCTAAAAGCTCCAAAAAGCTAAGCATCCTTGTTTTAAAGTTAAAACCGCTTCCATTTATGGTATAAATAAGACGGGAAAAATTAGTAAAACCTTTTTATATCCAGTCCATTCCTCAACCTCAGGCATTGTGAAACCATAAGCTTTAAGGCTTCTTTCAAAAAATCTCGTTTTCGCTTTTTGCACCTGGTCTCTAATGGGACTTGAAATACTCATAAATATTCTAAGACGATTTCACCCAATTCCGAGTTTTCAATTAAATTCAGATAAAGCTTGTTTCTCATATTATAAGGCTTATTTTTTGGTCAGATTTTTATTGCATTTTCTATAATTTTCTTTGGCCATCATCAGCATATTAGTTTGAGCTGTTTAAACAGCAAATGAATTTTTCATCTACTAAAGATTAGGATTCCATTTGCTGGAGCCAAATTTAATAAGCTAGTCTAGATTATGTGTTTCAATTTAAATGCTTAAATTTTGAATCTCTGCAAGTAATGGTGGCTATTGTTTTTAACCTTAAGTTGCAAATTACGAAAAGCAATCTAGTAAAGTTCCTAGTTAAGTTTACCTCTTGCTTATGTGTTTGAAATTTAGTTAAACTTATGTTCAGTTGCAAAGATGATAATTCGTTGGAGCAAAGAACATTAAGCCACTGCGGTTAGCTTTATCCTTTCCAATTTTTATTCAAAAGCGGTATTAAATTTTATATTCTGAAAAAAACATAAAATTATGAAAAAGGCTCGCTAATAAAAAATAATCTCAAGGTGTAATTTAAGATCTAGAAGGAAGAAAATATAAACCCTATTAAGGTTACTTTTTTACCTCATTTTAAAGTAATTTAAGATATAGATAAATGTTCCCAGTGAGATGAAATATAGAAGTAAAAGAATTTTGTTAACGTATTGTTCTGAAATTGCAGGCATCTGGAAAAGAATCAAGGATGTTTTCTATTTAAGCTGCAATCGAAGAGGGTCTAAACTGGCAGCTGGAAGCCAAGACGGATACATAAGGATTTTCAAATATCCCTGCAAAGAAAGTGATCAGGTAAATTTAAATCTTCTCAAAAGGCCTTCACAAATACATACTGGAGCTTATTAGATGGTGACCAAAATAAAATTGGCCTGTAAAAGTGTCACAGGAATTTCGTGAAAACATATTGTTACAAAATGTACAGGCGCGGTGACATAGCTTCCCCGCAAAGCAGTTTTAGGGTTGCCATAAAATTGGCAAAGGAAGGCAGTGGTGCCACATTTGGTGAGAAATCGCCCATTTGGCGACAAAATTGCCAATACACCATGGACGGATGGAGAACCTTCTGGAACGAATTCTTACTGGTTTAGCCCAGAATGTTCTCGAACATTCCGAAGAAAGCTATATAAACCCTGCTGGTCTGCAGTCTGATGGCATGGTGGAGAGGATTAACCATACAATCCTGAACCACCTCTCCTCATGGTTTCCAAAAACCAAGAAGACTGGGATCGCAAGCTACCTCTGTTCCTGCTTGCTTACCGTAGTGCCATCCACGAAAGCACTGGCTATTCTCTATCACAGATGCTCTTTGTTTGCGATCTCCATTTGCCACATGACCTGCTTTTTGGCCACCTTCCGGATGTACATTCCTCGCCTGAGGAGTACATGAAACTCCAGGCCCAGTTGGAAAGGTTTGCTTGAGAGCGGATCAACATCTTGACGGACAGGATGAAGAAGAGATATGACGCAAGAGCCACCGAACATCAATTCCAGGAAAACGACAAGGCTTGGCTGTGGAATCCAAGTTGTCGTAAGGGCGTTTCTCCGAAACTGCAGTCACTTTACAGTCCTCAACAGAGAGTCCCTGTACAGTCCTCAACAGATTGAATGATGTTGTGCTATGGATCTGTAAATCTCCCAATTCAAAACCCAAGGTCGTTCATTATGATAGATTAGCCCATACTATGGCCATAGTACTTAGTGCTTCTCATTCCATAGAGTACCTACTGGTGAAGTACGTAATAAATAAATATGGTAATTCATATCTTTTACATTTATTTCACTGTATGTAACTTTTTTTGTATTTAATTTTTATAATGCTATGCAATCCTGGGTACCCATAATTTATGTGCATGATTTTTTTTTACCTAGTTCCTGTGTAAAGTTTGTATGTAGTGTAAATGTTTGTTTCTTTAGTTATGTTATCTGTATGTTTTAAAACGTTTCAATTGTATCGAATTTGGCTTCTGACCAAGGGTTGTACTGCCTGGGACGTGCAGTCCTTTGGGAGGGGGCAGTGTTACGAAATATACCGGCAAGGTGACACAGCTTCCCCGCAAAGCAGTTTTAGGGTTGCCATAAAATTGGCAAGGGAAGGCACACCCAATTCTGTAACAATATTCTAAATAAGCAAAGAGATCATTAGAAATTGGAAAGGATGTTGTTTAGTAATTAGATGAAAGCAGCACTAAATGAGCTAATGATAAAACAATACATGCCCAATGTTGAATGTTATACAAAGCATAATTTGTGAAAAACGTACTGAAATATTTGCTCAAGATAATGGGAGTGTCTTGGCAAAATATGCAATGGAAACTTAGTGAGAAAATGGCAGGATATGGACTCTGCAAAGAAGGGTTTCTGTTCATTAACAACAGTAAATTTAATATCAGAATTATACACATTTTTTGGCTAGTTTTATTTTGGCCAGTCTGTACAAAGCATAATATTTGAAGAAAAGAAACAATTTCAAAAATTTCAAAAATAATTCCGTTATAAGAGTACATATTTATTTTTCAAATTTCCAACTCTGACAGCCTTAGGGAAAATGACTTCATGGAGAATTATCTAAGATATGCTGACTCGAACTTGCACTACACAAAGTAGAAATCTCTTAAAGTTATTCATCAGGAATCAAAAGTAGAATGAATTACCAATGCTTTAGTGGTCCTATTAGGTCATTAACTGTCAAAAATCTGTCTTTTCTTATACTACGATGAGCAGAAATTCATCTAAACACTCTTTAAATTTATTTGCTCTAGGGCTGAACTCTCTTGCTCAATACACTGAACATTTCAAAAAGATCTCATTATTAAATATTCTAGAATAGTTCATCAGAGATACGTTTTTAGCATATGAAATGGAACAAGTAAGGAAAACTTGATTTACTATGGATAAAAATTGTCTTATAGTTTATTTTGAATAAAAATAAATAATAATACTAAAATAGTTTTTTATACATGATATTAAAATAATAAGAAAATAAGTAATAATATTAATGGAGCTTGAAAGGCATCCCTCTCCTTAGGCAGACAGTCTGAGTGTTTTGCGATATTTCAATAATCCAGTGATTAATGGAGTATAGCAAATAAAGCTCCATTGAGCTTGATATGGATGTGTAATGAATTAAATTATATATTGAAATTAATATTCAAAAGTTTTAATTAAAGTATTTACTTTTTTGTTTCAGGGTGAATATGAGGAACAAAAACAAAGTACTCAACCTCTCACAGTTGTCCGATTTCTTAATATGGACCATTTGATATCTGCCAGTGGCTCAGCTGTTTTTATTTTTAACTACAAAAAGTGAGGGGGCAAGGAAAACTCCATTACATTAAAGCAGGAACGTCATTTATAACTGTAATAATAAAAATTACTTAATGTGTTCAAATATATGTTTCTCTATTATATTTTTCAAAGCTGTATTTCAATAAAAAAATTTCTTTTTTGTTATTTGAAAAACTTAATTCAAGTTAAGATATTTTTTTATAACTATTTAACATGTTAACGTTAAATAACTATAAAAATATATCATAATTTACATGTTCATATTAAATATTTATAAAAAATACACCATTTATCATTATATGTTATATTCTGTTTTTGATACATATCACTAAAACATGACTGCAGATTAATTGAAACAGATATCTTTCTCAAGCTCACTTTGTCAGTTAAAATTAGACTAATGTTTTTTTCTGATCAATTTATAATTCCTGATCTATGAATTTCACAATCAGTTATCAGACCATATCACATCTTGTACTCTTTTAAAATTAAAACTTGCTATTGTTGAGTCTTGAGCTGCTGCTTAATTTGCGATTCCTTATTTATCAATCTCACTCACATTTAATAATTTGTCAGATTATATTGCATCTTGCAACCCTTTAATGTTAACGTGATATTTGTTTTGACTTACATGCTTTGGGCCAGCCATCACATCTTACCCATTTAAGAAATCTTTATGCTCCTGAAACACACTAATTTTTTAATGGCTTTTGAAATTGTAGCACTTTTTCAGATTTTTACACAAAATTTAATGTTAATATTCTGTTCCAAATTTCAAATGCCAGATTTATTGTACCTTATATGATGGGAAAAAAATTATTTAAAATTGATTGTATTATACTAAAAATAAATATGATGGAGCTAATGACACTGACCAACTCTGAATGATTACATTTCTGTGGAAAAAATATCTCTATTAACACTCTGAGTGGCATGGCTTTATTTGCTCATGAAGATAAATATTTAAACAGGTCCAACAGGTTAAATTTTTACAATTACTTATCTTTGTATCTGTTTTCATAAATTCCCATTCATTAGGATGATTTTTACATTATTAAAGAAGAAAAAAATATTTACATAAAATTACAAGGCAGAACAATAAAAACAAACTATATATATTTCATTTCAGAATACAATACATTCTACATAGAAATATACAAAATCAACTGATATACATACTTAAACATAAACATATACATTTAAACATTTCTTTCATGAGGTTCTTTGTAAGGGTAGTCAATGTATTCAAAAATATCTCTTTCTGATGAGACAGGTAAAGGTTCACCAGATGTCCCTGAGAGTTGTGGAAAGAAAAACAATAGTTATACATACAGATTTTTTTTCCAAAATGAACTGAATGCATTTATGACATCATTATTTCTATTCTGTGTTACAAAGCAATAACAGATAAAAAAAAAATAAATGAATGCTTAACACATTCACTACCAATGAATTTAAAACATACCATTAATAACAATTCAAAAACAACAATGAAATTTTTATAAACCCTATTTTACAATAGAAATGTTGTTTTTCCCATTAATTATTAAACTAACTGAAGGCTCTTTTTTGATAGAGTGGCCACTATACTATGTCCCCAGAATTAACAAATGTAATTTGAATTTTTTAGCAAACTTAATTTGAATTAATTTAGCAAACCTGATTTGTAATTTGTAAATTTTAATAGTCAACAAAATTTATGCAATGGCCACTTTAACAAAGAAGTACTGCAATGACATTTCTTTCTAATACAGTTTAGTATTTTCCTTAGAGGCTGAAAAATATTTCATAATTGAAAGTGCATTATCTACCATTACGGCCAAGATATTTTTACAAAGGGTTTATATTAATCAACTGAATACTGATAATAAGAATAATAAAAAATACTGATAATAATAATATAATCAAATGAATACTGATTAAATAAGGGAAGCTATAACTGAAAACATATTACAGTCTAAAATATCACAAAAGAATTTACTATTAAAAGTTTTTTTAATTTAAAAAAATATATAAAATTATGCATAAATTTTACCTTTCTTCTTAAATAAAAGCAACACCTATTGTTATTTCATAAAACAACAAAATCTTTGCTGTTAAATAAAATTAAAACATAATTTTAATTTTAAAATTTCTTTTGTTTCTTTTCATATCTCTTTTTGAACATGAAATAGTATTAATAGAAAAATAACAAAACGTTGAATAAGTGCATTTTTTAAACAAATTTTAAAATAAAATGCATGCAAACGCTTGCAATCTATATAGTACAGCAAAATTTAATCATAATAATCAGATTTTTATTTTGGGTGCAGAAGATAGTGTATTCCAGTAAAACATATGCTAGTTGTAGCTAGAAATTGTGAAACAATTTAATACAGCACATTATGCACCTATTTTATTGATGCTGTTTATAGTATAAAATGAAATCTGGTGAAAAATATAATTAAAAAGGTAAATAAAATGACTTTTTTAATGATTAACTTATGTTGTATTGAGCAAAATATTTTTACAGCCTCTTTATATGTACTATGAAAAGTGACAACTATATATTGATATATCTGATCTCTACTTGAAATGGATAGGAATTCATTATTAAATACTGTCAATTTAATAATAATAATAAATTATAATTATCTTTTGTTAGACAACTAAAGATAAATTTTCTTAAGTTATAAAATATATTTAGTTAACTAAACTTAACTTATTTGTGGTTATAGGCTAACTTTTTTTACCTGTTTTATATCAGACGATGTGGGAACTATATTTTTAGCAAGAAAACACTGAATAATAAAATTCCTACTAAATGATTAAGAGAGATGTCAAAAATAAATTAAAAAATTTATGTCATTTACAGTAGCAAATGTATCATTATTAGAGATATTAAGACATATCAATCAACTACTTAATTTAAAAATAAAAATAATAATTCTTTGTCAGTAAAAGATAAAATTTGGTAGGCCATAACATAAATCTAACTAAATATGTTATTTATTACCTACTAAAATTTGAGGTCATGTGAACAACATGGCAACTATGTTCTCAACAGGCAGATGTGAATAACAGAATTTCTATTTAAGTGATTTAGACAGTAAAACATAAATCAAGTGATTGAGGTCATTCATGGGAGCAAATATGTCATCATTTCAGATATATTTTAAGGACATCATTGAAATGTATATTTATTTATTTAATTTATCAATAATTGTTTTAGAATTGTACCTCTAGAACGGCCTGATGCAGTACTCATTTATAGTGAACCCCTTCTCCACAGCATGAGCTCTCATTTGTTGATTAAATAAGCCACTGCCAGTGAAATATAGCGTTGCACAAAAGTACTGATCATGAGGGAAAAGCCTGCATAAATAGAAACATCTGATTACAGAACCTATGACAAGGTTACATATAAAAAGAACATTCAATAATGCATAAAAAATGTTATTCATATAATTTAACTACAGTCAACTTTTGACTAACCAAGCCCTATAGGTTAAAAAAATTAACTTTTAGTAGGGAATAACTGAAAAACTATCATCACAAACCACTGTTACAAATGAAATTGTCTACAGAAAATACAAAGAGATGAAAGATGCATAGGACAACAGTAATGATAAAAAATGTACTGATCATGAGTACTGATCAAAAAGTACTGATCATGAGGGAAAAGCCTGCATAAATAGAAACATCTGATTACAGAACCTATGACAAGGTTACATATAAAAAGAACATTCAATAATGCATAAAAAATGTTATTCATATAATTTAACTACAGTCAACTTTTGACTAACCAAGCCCTATAGGTTAAAAAAATTAACTTTTAGTAGGGAATAACTGAAAAACTATCATCACAAACCACTGTTACAAATGAAATTGTCTACAGAAAATACAAAGAGATGAAAGATGCATAGGACAACAGTAATGATAAAAAATGATGATGTTGGATTTCAAATGACACATAGTTTGTATTTTATACATAAACTAGCGATCCGCTCCGGCTTCGCATGGGTATAAAATATATAGGCTATGTCACTCACTGAAAAAATGATTAAAATGGATCCAGTAGTTTTGATTTATTCATTACTGCCCGTGGCCCGCACGCGTTAAATTTGGAGTAAAACAATTCCCTTTCCCTATACCATGAAGATTTCCTGCTATCTTTGGAATATCTAAATTCATACACTACATTTTTACTTATTTACTTTTTACATTTTTACCTATTTATTTTATTTTTACAACAATTAATATATTACAGAATGTCTTTATATACAACGTTCACAGCTTTCTTGTCATTAGTGAATGCGTAGTACAGTGATTGCCTAACTGATACGTTGTCGTGCTGAAAAGCACATTTTTATTAATTATATTGTTATTTTCCTTGCTAGAGAGCTCCGATAATAAACGCGTCTGATCGCTGCTAAATTCAAAGTGCTATAGGGAGAACCGCGGCCTCCGACGCGCTATTTATAGTCACGCTCCCACCGCCCCGGCCGGCCGGTACAGCCGCAAATGCTACGTCCCACAATTTTTAAATCTGTAGACCTTTTCAATGTGTACAATACTTAGTACATTATTTTGATAAATCTCATACGGTTCAGCCAGCATTTGCAATGCAAGCGGAAAAAATGTAATTCTTTACGACATCACATTAGAAACCTCAGAAATAACAGTATTTCTCTATTATTTAATGGATGTTATTATACATATAAACCTTCCTCTTCAATCACTCTATCTATTAAAAAAACTGCATAAAAATCCATTGCGTAGTTTTAAAGATTTAAGCATACATAGGGATATAGGGACAGAGAAAGCGACTTTGTTTTATATTATGTAGTGATTTATTTTACTTATTCCATGTTTTTTTGCCACTAATAATTGCAGTTTTGTTTCTTGGAAGTGGCAACAAAAAAAACTTTTAGAATTAGCTTAAAATTTTCATGTTTAGTAAGCTTTTAAAAATATTTGTTGTTTAAAAGAGAGAGATTTTATTTAAGATCCAAATACATTTTCAGATATAAATGACACTTTAGACTACGTTTGCTAGTCTCTAGAATTCGTAATACACTGTTAGTATAATAGTTTGTTTTGATTCCTAACTAAACAGTTGGAATAATATATGGGAATTGTTTTTATTTATAACAATTCGTAATTTGAAATATATAAATATAAAAGCAAACTGCTCAATTGTACAAATAAATCAAGCATACACATATTAAACTTCTACTTCACATGAGAGCAATCAAAACAAAACAAAAAAAGTTTTTTTTTGTTTTGTTTTCAGTTCTGATTTAATTTAGGAAACAAATTGAACTCATTCTCCACATTGAACTGTTGGGCAATACAGGTAATCTGCTGAACTTTTTTTTTGGGGGGGGAGGGTAATTATAATATGGATTACTGCTCTTTCCTATTTTTTTTAAACCAACCTGAAATAAATCATGATTTTAAGTTAAACATGGATATTGCCTGAGGTAGATCAAAATTAACTGTATATTTAATATTGCGGAAAAAAAAGTAGACAAAATTTGCTGAAAAAATATGATATTTAGATAGAAATGGTTTAATAAAAGAAATATATTTAATAGTTAATATAAATATATGCATGGAATTTAAATATTTATTTGAAATTTTCCAATAAACTTTTTAAAACAGAATAACTTATCTAAACCAAAATCTAAATGATATAATACCTTTAATGCTCATTTATGGATGCAAAAATATATTAGATAAATTTAATTATAATTTTAAAGAATAAATAAATTACTTTAAATTGTAATATTTTGAAGGGGGAAAAATAAGATACACTGTACCCAATGTCTATTCTTCTGAAAGGATGGCTAGCATCTAAGTGACAGACTCCCTAGAAATGATAATTAAATTAATAACACCATATACACTATATATTAGTCTGTGATAATATCATATATTTAATTATAGTTATGTTAAAAAATTAAATTTACCAGACATGTTCTAACATATGATCTATCTTTAGTAGACACTTTCTTGAATTTTCAACACATTATATTACAATGCATTTATCATCAAATATTATTAAGTGTTGCCAATGGACTAAACAAAAGCTGTTTATCTTGCCTATAAGCCTCAAAAACAGTCATTTTATAAAGTATTGTCATTCAATAAAGTAGAAGAGCTTTAAATTACTTTGAACTTGTAATTATTAAATAGCTGAATGACTTGAAAGTAATAAATAATTTCCTTAATATGTTAAATCCTTATTTTATTTTTATAGTGTATTTAATTGACATTAATTAAAATTTTTTATTTACAGTGATGTACAAATATAATACCCATATAATATTATTTTTATATATTACAGTCAAAAGTCTTTAATCCGGACTCGTCGGGACTTCCGGATTATCGATTTTTCCGGATTATAGATCATCAGTTTAAATCTGGTACGATGGCATGCAGAAATTATAAAATTGAAAATATGAAACCGTAATTTATGAAATAAAGAACATTTATGATCTAAAGGGGATCAAAATTTACAAAAAATAAAAAATAAAAAGCTTAATATTTATTTGTTTATTTTATTAAACATTTCTTTCAACACGTGCATACATTACGCATAGACGAAATTAGAAAATTGCAACCAGAAAACTATTTGATGTGTATTCGTGATATTTATAATGAATTTGATTTAAATCATATCAAAGACAGAGTACATCGAGATGAAATACTACATTTAGTAATGAACTATAAGCCAAATAAAATAAAAACATCTGCCCTGAAGATAAGGATAGTGCTGACAGATCAACTTCCAGTTCATTGCGCTCCGTGACGTTCCCCTCCCCCGCAGAGCAGCGTGAAATTGATAAACAGATTTCGGAATGGTTAGATAAACAAAGGATATACCTTTATCTATTTTTTGCAGCAATTCCACTTTTTGTTTGATGGACATCGAAATATGCTTTCGCTTTGTAGATCCTTGGCAGTATCCAAGCAGCAAAAGCCAGCATCGGAAATTCTATTTGACATAATTGAAAGTTCAAGCTTACTTTTATAAAATTGCTTTTATAAAAAAACAGTCTGCAAAAAATAATAAGCCGGATCCAATTCGAAGATTAAGGAACAACGCAATCTGCAACATTAACTGAAGTAGATAATTTTAGCTTAGCTTATACCTTCCGTTATACATTAAACGTGCATGTGTACACGCATATGCGCATCTGTGAAGGCATTATGCATTGACGCATGCGCAGAAAGTTTGTAGCTTTGAGGTCCAGATTATGGGCATTTGGATTAACGACTTTTGACTGTACGGATATTTTGAGTTTATGTATTTTTGCCTTTTCGCGAAGTGAGAACTGAATTAATTGAATGAGAAATACTAAATCATCTGTGAAAAACTGTTTCTTTTTGTTTTGTTTGCTTAATTTCTTTTATACATCATTCTAGCTTTATTATAGTATTTGAATAGAACATGTGGCAATGATTAGATAATTCTTTAAATGATATAAATTTTGTGTATTCTGAGTTATAATATGAACAAAATATAATACTGTTAAGTGAACCTAGCACCAGAGTGTCACTATGGTAAACAAAATAAAGTGAATTTTAAAGAATGCATTTATTCTATTGTGGTTTATGCGCTGTCGGCGAAGTAGGTTTAATTCAATCCAATAAGTTTAAATGAAATGCAAGAAAAAATGCGTATAATTTAATATTCCGTACAAGGAAGTCATGTGGTGTACACATCAGATTTTTTGTATTGTTACACAGATAGTGTACTTTTGTTATGTAAGTATATTTGAATAAAATTTATCTCTTTTCAAAAAATTATATATCACATTTTTCAATTTGTATTAAAAACTTTGAAGGAGATAGTTAAATTTTTTTAATACAGATGTTTTTTAAAGAAGTTAATTATTGAGAATTGTATTTTATTCAGAAATTTATCCTTACATCAAATAATTAATTCAAAAGGGCTTTACTGCAGCATTCCATTGAAAAAGTTAACAATAATTAACAGTGGTTTGTTGCAAATAAAACATTTGATATACAAATTATGACTTTATTTCATCATCAGGAAACAGTATTTTACCTATGTGTCTTCTATGTAATAAAACTATATCAAATGATTCAATGAAACCTTCCAAGCTTAAGGAACATTTAATAAAAATCCATAGTAACAAAAAAGATCAGGATTTAACGTGTTTTCAGACATTCAAAGAAAATTATTTGGAAACACCATCACTGCAACAACTCATAGGGACAACATTCAAGCAAGATGACAATGGACTGCATGCTTCTTAGAACATTTCTTTATTAATTGCAAAGTCCGGAAAGCCATACACTATTGGTGAAGAACTTATTTTACTGGCTGTAAGTGAGGTAATATGCACCATGTTGCACAAATCAGCTTTCAACATTATAAAAAGAATTCCACTAAGTAATAATACAGTACAAAGGATTGATGAAATGACTTTGTGTGTAGAAAATTCTTTATGTGAGTACTTAAAAACATCTGAATTTTCTATACAGCTTGACGAGTCCACTTTACCAGGAAATGAAGCTTTACTTTTCACTTATGCAAGATTTGTAAAAGAAGAAAAATTTTTGCCAAGAATTGTTATTTGCTAAACGTTTGGAAACTGATATGAAAGGTGAAACGTTATTTACTGAATTAAAAAGATTTTTCAATGTAAAAGCTTATACCCTTCACTAATATCATTTCCGCTGCTACTGGCGGTACTCTGGCAATGGTAGGATGATACCAAGGTTTTCTGGCATGCTTAAAGCAAGCTGTATCGAATGTATTTTCAGTACATTGTGTCCTTCATCGTCATCATTTAGTCGCAAAAATCTTAGTAAATGTTTGCATGGATCGCTAGATTATATCATTAGAGCAGTTAATAAAATCAAAAGGAACACCTTCAAGGAGAAATTATTTACTCAACTTTGTTTGGAAAATGATGAAGACTATAATCGTTTACTACTTCACAAAGAAGTATGTTGGTTATCTAAAAGTGCAAGCTTAAATCGATTTTATGCGCTCTTTGATTCAGTGTTGGAATTCCTAGAAAGCAATGATTTGCGATACAATTTCATTAACTCAAAATGACATAGCCTTATGTGACTGATTTAGTGGCCAAATTTAACGAAACTAATTTGAAACTACAAGGTGACCAATTAAATTTAATAAAAACTAAAAGCATAATATCTGCATTTGTTGCAAAACTTTTTCTGTTCAAACAAAACTTGGGAAGAGAAGAATGTTCTCAGTTTCCAAATCTTTCGAAATTGCAAAAGAGATGGAGAATTGCTTGCTTACTGTCAACACCTTACTTCATGCAGACCTGAACCAAAGATTTAAAGACCTTCTTCACTTGGATATTCCAGACTGGGTGTTGAACCCTTTTGCGTGTGGACAAACTCAGATGAATCCATACTAATATAGGAGCATCTTAGTGAAATATCCACAAATAAGGAACTTAAACCAATGTTTGAACAAGGATACCACAAATTCTGGTTACAAAACCAGATCCCAATTTTATATCCTGCATTTTGGGTTATTGTACAGAAGTTGACTGCTTTCCCATGTGTGATGTTTTTTGTGATGAAGCTCATAACAACACTGAATCCATGTTATTTAATAGAACATGGATTCAGTGTTGTTATGAGCTTCATCACAAAAAAAGAAACTAACTAGGACTTAGTACTTGTGGGGATTTGCGGTTGCCACTTAGAAACATTGAGTCCGACATAAATGCACTCATAACATCTCTTCAATTTCATTTAAGTCATTATTATTTTTTTAATTTTATTTTAAACAAAAGTTATAAGTTCAATAAATACTTCTTCAACAAAATGCTTTTTTTTTTATTTGGAATTTTTATAGTATGCACTTATGTAGTAAATAGAATTACATGTCCGTGGGCAAGTCTTGACTGTCAAAAAGGTGCCCATAGGTCAAAAATCTTTGGGAACCCTTGACCTAAAGCATCATTAATAAAAAAGAACTGATATTACATCAAAAAGTAAACCACAAAACTTATAAAACAAAGTAATATTTTGTCACACTTATAGAAATTATTTTCCTTGTTTTTATTTTATATCATTCTCTAGCCAAACAAATAGGTGAACAACTATAATCAAAATCTCAATTTTTAATATTAGTGTCTCTGCTAATATTAATGTATAATTAATGCAATTTTAATATTAGTATCATCTTTTGAAACTAATAATTTACACAAAAAATCTACACAAAAAATTTGATAAATAACCTTTTTGAAATCAAAGCAAACCATATAATGAATTTATTACCATAAACTTGTAGTCTCCACGAGAAATATGATCCACAATTAATCCTGACTTTTCTAATTTATATAGAACTTGTTTTAGAAGTTCGCTCTGCAGATGTAAACATTTGATTAGTATTTTAGTCACATATTAGGCTGCAAAAACTTATTAACATTGCAAGTCATTAACAAACCTTGTTGACATCAGCAGATGAGTAATCTGGATGTGTGAGCAAAATATCAATATCACCACTCTCTGAAGCACCTAAAAATAAATAAATAAATAAATAAATAAAATAAAAATAAATAAATAAATTTTAATCATTCGGCTCAAATAAAAAAGAATTACATGTTTTCCTCAAACAAATCTTTATGAAATTAGATACCCTATATCAGTATTTAAAAATTTAATGCCTGTGAAACTCCCATTTTCATGTGTTTTTTCCATGTTATCATATTATATCAAGTTTTTTTCCCATTATAGATTTGTTAAGGCTTAAATTTTTAGAATAAATATTTTATTCCTTCTCTGAGAGCTAATAACTTTAGCACTGGGTATAACAATGCATTATTCTGATACGTTACACTTTCTGATACCTTGTTTTTATTGCTTTCTGAAGAAAGCATTACGTTCACTTCATATCATAGCTGACAATCTTAAAATCTTAAAAACCTGGTGAATTTTGCAAGGAAATCATTAGAAATTGGGAGATTTTCATGCAACATCGCAACATCATTTCAAAGAACTTTAAACTGACTTTAATTCACTTTATAATGCATGGTTCAGGTTATTAACCTATTTGTAATTTATTTCTGATGTAAAGGCCTTTAAATGGATATTCTAAATTTTATGTTCTTTGGCTAATGTCATTTTTTAGTTTTCTTACACTTTTATACCGAGAAAATCCTGAGTAGTGAAGGAAAGCTTTTATTTATGAAAGTACTTTTAAATATGATGAAAATAAAATTAATAAATAATGTCGATAGTATTTGTGTGGATCGTGCCATATATTTAAGTAAACAAAATTAAATACAAATAAAATGATTAAACATTGCTTGAATCTTCATATAAAAATCCACAAATATATACAGTACATTAAAAGACAACTTAGATCAAAAGAAATTTAATATAACAAAAATCAGTACAATGTAATAAGAAAAATACTATTCAGATGAAATAAAATTCAACAACAAAAATTATTCTGAAAATAATTTGAGGTGTGGGAAAGGAATTTATCACATACAAATTTCATTTATTGCTGGAAAACATTTTCCTTCGTAAAAGCTAAAAATTAAAAACAAGACATGTAATGAAAAACTGAGAATATCGTGATAAAATTGGGAGTATTGGTAGTTATGTCATATCATTAAGAAGGTTTAATTATTTCACATATTTCTTTTTTAACATCTTTTGATACTAATAATTTTAATCTAATAGTGATTTTCAAAAGTGTTTTAAGGTAACCTTTGACACAGAATTAATACTCCTGAGCTTTTTGAAATAGCATTTTAATATTTTCCACTATGTAAATCTCATTAAAAATGCCTGGTAGCAAGTGCCTTTTAAAACTATAAATTTGCCCTGGAGAAAATTATGGCCAGATTGCAATGCAGAGGGCTTTGACACCAAGTATTTTTTCGTTATCTAGGATATTGTGTCTCTAGGCAAAACCATAGGTCAGGTTATTAATGACGACATGGAGGAATTGCTAAAGGACCAGAAAAATGAGCTCAACATGAAAGAATGCAATAACTTCAGAAGCAGCAGCAAATAATGTCTTCAGAAGATAAAGATATAAGGAAAAATTATCCTAGTAGTTTGTTTCATGAAATTTGTGAAAAAGGTAGTAAGATGTAAAATTTCATATAATGATATCATACTGATAAAGTAACAGCAAGCTACAGTATAAGAATTTTCAAATACAATGCCAAATCTCTTTTTATAAACATTTTAAAATGTAGCTAACAACAAATCAATTGGCCAAATTTTTAGTCAAATTTAGGTTCAATGAATCTCAAAAACAGTTGAGTGGTCCTATAAGGATAAAGTAAAAATACAAGATGTCCCAGACAGATGCTACCCGTTTTTATCGAAAAGGACTCCAAACAATAACATGTCTTCTCCCTTATCCTTCGACTTATACTGTAAACTCTAGGGGCATACTGAAGGGGAGACTGCGAAAAATCTTAAGTATAGGTACCTATATGTAGGAATATAAAAAGAGACAAGTTAAAAAGTGGTTTGTATTGAAAATATTAAAGTTTATTGTGAAATGGACATTCACAAATAATTTTTTGACAATGTGTGTTTCAGTTGCCTCTTGTGAGAAAAAGTTTTCTCTGTTGATTAAAAGGCAAAGTAAGATTTAACAGTTTGACAGTTCTATCCATTGAAAATGCAGAGGCTGAAAACATAATTTTGATGATGCTATAAAGAAATATTCAGAAGTTAAAACTTATAAAAAAACAGTTTTAACAAATTTTTATTGACAGAAAAGTTTTAAAATAATCAAAAATGACAGATTAATAAGCTTTTGTAAATATAGATTTATCTGTTAGTTCTATTTTTTTTCTATAGGCTTAAGATATTGTTTTCCAAATCATTTTAACTTTTTAATATTAATTATATAAATATTAATTGACGTTATTAATGTTACTTATGTATTAAATGTTAATTTATGTTATTAATTTTGTAACTATTTATGTTAGTACATAGTGATCATTCCAATAAAGAGGGCCTCAAGGAGATTTCTGCCCCAAGCCTTGATAATTCTAGGTGTGCCACTAGTACAGTTGTAATGTTTCCATAAGCAAATATCTATGATCTTTTACATTAATTCCTATAAGGGAAAACAGCCTTGATTTATGAGCATTTTGAATGACAAATTACCTTTAGGAATAAATTACATTCATGAACTGAAATTTTCCTGCATTTTTGTTGCAGAAACTACACTCCCAAGAACGTTTTTATTAGATTCTCCCATACAGAAACTCTGTTCAGTAAAAGTAATAAACTTCTTGGAAGGAACACTGAAATGTGCACCCTTTAAATAAAATTTTCTTACTCTTGCATTTCTTTAATTTTTAATTTCATTTTCAGGTGGACCATAATATAAATGCAACCAGTATCTTCAGGAAAAATTGCATAAATCCATGCTTCTTTATTATCTTTTTAATGTGCATGAGAGTGGTCTAGTTAAAACTCCAGCACTTTTCTTTTTGAGGGATCACCCCTGAATATTAATTATGATTATCTTCTAGAAATACTGACTTATCAACAGAGAACTTAATTATGAGTTGCAATTATATTTCACAAAGTGCAAATAGCCAGAAGAATTTTGTGGCATTGATTGCAACATTTTAATAAAGATAAAAAAAATTATAATTTCTACGTGCTTAGAAGGTCTAAAGTAAGGATCTTTTTACAAGATTCTAGAGAAGTTTTACTAGGAAGATCCCTCCTTCACAGTCTCATGGGAATTCTTGGATCCCAGACTGAAATCATCTGCCTTACAAACTACTTAATAATATTCACTAAATTAAGAATAAAGATTGCTATAAAGACATAGATTTTTTTAATAATATATTTAACTAATTTAGAATTCATTCAATTTACAATGCATATAATTCATAATTCTATTTTTTGGTTTATGAGCCACCAGTAGTAATTATGTGCTACTGTACCAAATGTCATAAGCTATTTATTTCATTTATGAGTAGTTACACAATGACATTATTACAATAATAAAAAAAAATTGTACATTGATCTATTAATTTTTTTCAATAATTTTAAGTTTCTTTTGTTGAAGTCCTTTTTTTTTTAATAAATAGATGTGGATTACACGATTTGGCAATTGTCAAATGATGAAGAGTAGGGATTAATCTATTAGAATTAACATTTACAAGTGACACCCTGTTAACCAAAAAGTATTTTATTCCTTATTCATTAATAGTTTTTTTTTTTTTTTTTGTTTTTGTTTTTTGGTTTGGTTTTTTGGTTTTAATTATGGGAAAGCACACTAGGGCTATCTGCCTAAGGAGAGGGATGCCTTCGTGGAGGACTTTCTAAGGTAAACTGGCTGGTATACACGTTACACATGGGGAAACCATGAAAACGACCACGCAGCCAGCTCATTAGCAGGATTCGAACCTCAGACCGAACTACCAGTGTTCAGCGACTTTACCGCTCGGCCACTGGTGGGCTATTCATTAATTATTTAAACTGCCTTTGAAAATCTTTCAAATACTGCATAGTATTGAAAAGCAATAGAAGAATTAATTGTTTCTTTCTGTTTGTATAGAAATATGGTATTCTGGATTCAAGTAACTTGGTGCTGATGAAGTGAGTGGTAGAAAATTCACAATTTGATGAACTGCAGTAATACAAATATACAGTTTACAATAATACTCCATGTGAGAATGAAACTCTTTATTTATTTTTTTTCTTTAGGAACCAAGTGATCGCTAAAAAACTGCAGCTGCTTCTTTCAGCTGGTTTGATTTCTTGTGATTTTTTTTTTAGAAACATCTCAAGAGAAATTTTTCCAAATTTTAGGGCTGTTTCATCACAGTATCTATCCTTTATAATCTGCAAGACCCAGCAAGAATTGCAATTACACAGGATATACAATTTATTTATTTATTTTATTTTATTTATTTTTCATACAAACAATTTTCAGAATGTTGCCATTCCTTGTAATATACGACCTTTCGTTTAGCTTTCAAACTATAATTTATTTGCTTAGCAAGTAGAATAATATAAAATCTATAAATATAGTTCTTAAATTTATAGATTTTTTTAATAATATATTTAACTAATTTAGAATTCATTCAATTTACAATGCATATAATTCATAATTCTATGAACATCTACAGCATTATGGTAATTAATAATAGGTGTTTCTAATGTCATATATTATGTATCTGGCACAGAATTATTGGGTTTCTTTTGGCACAAAGTGTATATCATTAAAAACATTAAAAAGAGAATTATTCAGTTTGTAGTAATGTTTTTAACTGCAATACAGTTAAATGATGTTCATCTTGCTTGTGATACTCAAAATGTGTTTACAAAAAATGTTTCATATATTAGGAGTCATTATTAATGATGCTGCACAGGATTTTTGATAACATTCAACATTACATTTGAGTGGATCTGTACATTAATGGGGGGCATTTCCAGCATTTGTTTATAGGATGCGAAAGCTGCTTGCTGCAAACCGCATGTTCTAAGCAAATGTGTGATAAAACTTGATTACTTCTTTAGGATGTTATTACCTAGAGAAGCAACTTATATATTTTTACGTATTATTTCCATTTTACATGATGGACATTTGTTTTTCATTATAGCAAATTCATTGTTATTCATTATAAAAATATTCTGCTCTTCAGAGTGTGAGAAAAAGTTTAAAAAGAATCGGAATATTTGTTTAGTCAGTATATGGAAACAGAAAAACAATTATGATTAGAATCAGTCAGAAAGAAAAATTAACACACCTCGCCTGTAACTTCCACAAATGGTGATCATATACCTTTTATCCACAGCATGACAAAGATTCACAATTTTTTTCTGGGAAAAAATACTTTAAGTCATATATTGAATATAAAAGAATTTAGAAAAAATATACATAGAATACTAAAGATTTAAAAATAATTATGATATGAATCTGAAAAATATACATCAACTTTTTTCATTTTAAGCTATAATAATTTTTTAACACAGGTTTAATATTTTGTAACAGGTCCAGTGTAGAATACATGGAAGGGGGGAGCAAGAGGAAACCTTTCCCATTTGAGAAAATTACTGTTCAGCTGAATAAACAAGTTCTTGTACATTTTATTATGTGGTTAAAAAATAATGAATTTACAGTAAACAAAATTCCCATGCAATTTACATTATAATATTCAGAATATGATTCCTTTATAGCAGCAATTCTTAAAATTTTTAGGATCACAACCCTATTTAGCTGCTCAGGCTATATTGTATTGTGACCCCAAATTCACAGGACTATATATTTTATAATATGTTAAGAACTCTATTATGCAATGTTTTAGCAACCTTATGACCACCCCAAAAATTTTTGCCTCCCCTCAATTTGGGTTGCAACTGCTGATTTGAAGAATACTGCTTTATAGCGTCATATCAGAGCCTATAGACACATAACTTATTTTATTAACTTCGTAGTCATAATTTTTTTACTTATTTATTTATTTACTTATTGGTCACAATCGAAGTTTTTAATTAACCTGCAATGAACTAAAATCTTCAAGATTATCTTCAAAACTTCAAGTCTGCTATTTTAAATCTTTTCAACTCGGCATTTTCTCTTTATACTCTGGTATGTTTATATTTACCTAGTTACATATTTTTTATGAATTTCATATATTTAATGTAAATGTAACACTAAGCATAATATTTCACACTTTACAGTACTATTATATTTAAATTTAAGGCTATTAATACTTAATTTAATTTAAAAAAATTCACCATTAATAAATAAATATTTTCTAACGTTCAGATTACACACAACCCAACTATTTTGACTATATCAAAAAAGTAAATTTACAATTCTAAAACATCTATCACAGTTTTTTTAATTATACTAAAATGGAATTTCAATTTATTTCAGGATGAAGTATTAAACAGCAAAGAGCAGATGCAAGACAAATCTTCATTTTACTTAATATTATAATGAGAAACAACACACCTCTAATGCTTCGATTTCTTCGCGTGGAATTTTCTTTCCAAAATCTTCAAAATACCTTAAAAAACATGCACTATATTTAAGAACACTTCTGCAAGTTATAATATTAAAAAAAATCAAAAATTAAATACATACAAAACATACTTCAATCCTATTTTCTGGTGATGATTTAATTTGTCAGCATTTTTTCTCAGATCTAAAATAAAGTGAGAAGGATAAAAATGAATATATTTTCTAACATTTTTATTATATTTCATTATGAAATATATTTAAACAACAACTTTGAAATCAAATTCAGCTTATTATCTTTTACCTTACAAACTGTATCCATATAGATCACTCATCTGATTTCTTTATAGTACTTGGAGTGTGATTATTTGGCATATTAATATGTACATATTGACTTAAATTTATTTTAATTAAAATCTTAATTTATATATTCTGTTAAATCAAATTTTCACTCAAGTACATTGAGAAGACAAAACACGATTCAGATTTCTTTAATCGTTGGTGATTGTATTGAAAAGGGCTAATACTGCTTGAAATGTCTGCCTTTTTTTTATAGAATTAGCAATAATTCATATTTAATTTAATTTTTCCTATAATGTATCTTTAATTGGCTATTAACTTCAATGTGTTACACTAGTTTTGAAATTACAATAAGTTTTTACTCTACTGTTTCCAGGATTGATATCCTCTCTGGTTTATAAATACACTAGTGGACAGTTGCTAAGATGGATGACAGTAGCAGCAAAAGCAACCACAAAATGGAAGGCAGGAAAATATGGAAATCAGCATAAGTGCGGGATACAGTAAGACATGCTGTACATTTGCAAACTCTGGATTACCGAAGCTGTTCGTCGAATGATAATGCTGATAAGATGTATAAAGGATTCCATGTGTATTGACTATTGTTGTTCAAAAGCAAAATTTAATGCGAAACAATCAATGGACGAACTTGCAATTTTTAGTATGTCTTCCAGACATCTCTCAGATGATTTTATGCACAGCCATATTATTGGCAAATTTGAAGGCCAAAAAATAACAGATGTTGCTAGGGGCTTTGATGTCAGCTGCAGTGCCATTTCAAAACTTTGGCAATCATTTCAAATAAATGGAATGTGTAGCAAACATCATGGGGTAGGTCATGTTCGCAGTACAATGCCTGCAGAAGATAGGTACATAGTGCTACTGACAAAAAGGAACTAGCACAGCACAGCTACTGAGGTAGCAAATCACTTACTCGCTGCTACTGGCAAGCAAATCTTCCAAAAATCTGTAGCCAGATGTTTGCATCAAGGACTACATGCCCACAGTCCTATTGTATGCAGCCCGTATGCAATGGTGTTGTCATCATCACAATTGGAGGGAAGACTGGTTTGTGTACTATTTTCAGATGAAAGTAAGTTCAGTTTCTCGTCTGATTGTGGACGACAACTGATGTGGTTCTGCATATGTTCTGGCAAGCATACAGGAAAGGGACCGATATCCTAATTGTAGTGTCATGATAAGGGGTGTGATCATGATCAACAGCTGTATGTCACTCTATGTACTTCCAACTGGGACTATGACTGGCCAGTGATACATTAATGATATTCTACTGCCTCATGTTTGCATGTTCTGTGGTACTGTCGCTAATAAATTTGCTTTCATGGACGACAGTGCAACATGTCATCAAACAGTCACTGTCCAAGAATGTATAGAGAGCAAGGATATTTTATGCCTAATTCAGCCAGCAGTTTCAATTCTCAAAATTTTGAGTTGAAGTTCCAAATTACCTATGTCATCAGCCTCATGCAAGCCATGCAAGATGCACTGATCTAGAAATAGCACAATCCAGAAAAGTTATTACGATTTTTGGATTTTTAGAACAAACAGGGGAAATTAAGGATTACTGATAATTTAAATTATAATTTTGATTTATATATTTTTTATCTTATCTGTTTATGTATATATTAGAAGAACAGAATGAAATAAAAAAATACTGGTGGTGCACTGTTAAAGTTGGTGATTAAAAAGTATTATTATCATCAAAGAAAGCCAATGAAGTTTTAGCTTTTCAAGGCCAAAACGTATCAGTTAATGAATAAATATCAAAGAAACCATGTAAAACTAGAAGTGTGAATATTTACAAAAATGTTCAATAAAATGTACAAATATTATAAACTAAGATTACAAATAAGAAAATATATAATAAAAACAAATTTTACCTTCAATAGTTTTTATTCCATCACTTACTAATTTTTGAGCTGTAGCAGGTCTTAAAAAAATAAAAAATGGAAAAAAAGTTTAATATTTGACAGCCTGATACTTAATGCTTTATCTCATCATACATTTATTAATTCAACTAGAACAAGAGAACAGTTAAACATACCCAATGCCAGTAACTTTTGTAAGTAAATTGATTGCTTGATTTGTATCATCAGCTCGTATCTAAAATAAGTAATAATTAAAAAAAAAGAAGTTATATTCTAATAATCAAGCTCAAAATACACCCAATTTTCTGTTCACAATTTATTTTGATCTAAGGCAATTAGAAATGTCAACTTTTTAAAAATTTAATGTTTACAAATTTAACTTAAAAAATTATATTGACATATGAAAATATTTTCAAAGTTATATATTATAATAAAAATATGACTTTTTGAAGTAGTTTTACTTTAGCAACACATTTTCTAATCATTAAAATCCTGAAAACAGAACCTACAGTAGCATGAACCTAGAGTAGCATACATGAATATAACAAGAATTTTCTTTTATTCAGTAAACTTCTTGGTACTTATGTATAACACAACCACCTTAGCAAAATTTGGCAATTTTTTACAAAAGTAAAATGATGACTTATAATTCAGAAAAACCTATTTAATTGCATTTACATACATATTTTACATTTTAATTATGGTTTTACCTGAAAATCAATCAATAAGTTTACTTGCAGATGGAGTGTCTTTTCGTATAATGACAATTTCGTGATGAATAGATGAAAATATAGAATAGATGAAAATCTTTATGAATAGATTACAAGCAATTGTACCCTTTAGTGATTTTGCATTTAACTACTATTATTTCTGCAGAAATTTTACCACACTTTCTTCTGTTGCTAGCAAATCTCACAAGCACACATTTCAAAATTGAGCTTAAGGCCTCCAAAAAAGGAGTCACAAATTATGTATTCAAACTTCTGGAAATACAAGAAAAATAACCATAAAAAAATTATGACCTTTTTATGTACATTATTTTCAGAAGAACTGCTATGAGTATGGTTGCCACAGATTGGAGCAATCTAAAATTTTGGTGACTTGTACTAAGGACCACGGACAAGGCAATTTGATCATAAGAGTACATTTGTAACAAACACACAGTTACCTTCTTATCATTGAAATGAAAAATTTGACAAAATTAAGAGGACTGCGAATGGACATAAAAGGTTCTACTGAAAGAAAGAAGTCAATAACGTGTCTATAAATCTGAATTGCAAAACTGACATTTCGTTGTGTGTCATATAAAGTGGAAAGTTATTGCCAGTGGTGATATAGGAACAGTAATTTAAAAGTGGGATAGGAAGGCACTGTCATGTGCCACCTACAAAGCTGCAATAAAAACACGCTAGGGGAAGAAGAATGATGTCTTTCTTCAGGAAAGCTCTACTAAGGTGGTTGCAGTAATAAATTAATACCAATATTTTTTTAAGAAAGTAGTTATGATAATATGTTAGTACCAAAATTTTTCCCTCACTGAACAAAAATTTTAATCTTTTACTAACAGTAATTCTCATTTATGTTTTTAACACTTAAAAAATATGCATATGTATACACACACACACACATATATAAATATGTAAGATAAAAATATATGAATCAAAATTATAGATTAAACTATAAAACATTAATTCTTCCTCTTTATTCTAAAATCGTAATAATTTCTCTGCATTGCGTCATTCAAATTAATCATGCGATCTTACGTAACCGCTAATGCAGATGCCTCTTGAATAATCACCAAATAACAAACAAAAACTTTCCTCTTCACGTGCTTCCATTCTTCATAACTACGCACTTCAGCTTTTGCCCTCTACTCTCCTAGGATGTAATTTCGCTGGCTTGCTTTCCTTCTCAACAATATCAAAAATGTAAATCTTCTGTGGAAAGGCACGACTAGAGTGCCAACTGATTGTGGCCACAAATATCAATTGGAAATACAAATGGAATTAAAACTGCTTCGACTGCCAAGTTCTTTAGATCACCGCATTTACAGTGTTCCGTCTTTTCCTTTACTTTTATTATGACGATTAAGCCGGCAGGATAGTTTCCTGCAGCCTGAAACCTCAATGGAATTTATTCAGCTCTTCAAGTCCTCGTTTTGTGATAAATTCAAAGGGAAATGCGAAAGAAGTGGAATCATCAAAGTTTGTTTCTTCAGTATTTAAAAAATAACCTGATCATTCCTTCTGCTGTGGTGTTTTGCAAATGCTTCAAAAAATAATCACGTCTCGAAAATTAATTGTTTGCAGAGTTGAAAGTAATCTCTCCGATAAATCCGAGAAGTTCGAATGCCTTAGTGAAAAGGAATATTGAATTTGCTTCGGCCGATGTCCCTACAATATTTAGAAAAAAAAAGTGCTTTAAATCATCAGTGAATTACCGCTTAGGAGATTCAGCATTACGGGTTCAAGTGTGTTCGATCCGAGTCTCAGTGTTTGTAAGTATATGTGCTACAGAAAATTATTGTGCTTCCGCTTTTTCTACTAGTATTTCGTCAATCGACAGCTCAAAAAGTGTTATTTTCGTGTGAATTTAACTCAGGAACAAGACAAATTATTTAGTATCTTGAGGAATTCTATAGTTTTCATTCAACTTTTGCTTAAAAATTTCTGCAATTTGCATTGTGCTGTTTTGCGAAAAAGTGAAATTCTTGTTCAATTAATTTTTCTAATTTTTCATAAAATGTGTGCGAGCAAATTAAGTAACGAAAGTTTAAGCTATTTGAACTATTCATAGTGAAGGATATTAAGGTAAGTTTTTATGTTTTTGAAATTTATGTTGAGAATTTTGAATACAAATTTTATAATTATTCTAAAATAAAGATGTTTAAAAATAAGTGAAAAATTAGTACAGATAAGTAATATGAAATTACGGTAAATGCATGTTAAAATTTATGGGTTATTGTGTGTTAAATATAGTATGATGAGGGTGTACTGGTTCCTTCAACAGAGGCCTGTAATTACCTCTGTACAGTTGTTTCTTTTACCCTCTTCATGCAAGATAATGTTGGAGGCTCTCATTTTAAGAATGCATGTAAATTTTTTATATTATTATTATTATTATATTTTTTTTATTATGGAATGTATTAGTGCAGTTCTCAAAGGCCAGTTACCTTAATGTAAGGAACGGAGGCCTTTTCAAGTAACTGTCAAGGCACCCTAGGCCACCAGTGCATAGAACACACTGGTTAGCTCAAGAGGACAGCCCTATTGATGGATATGTTTGTTTAGAAGTATTGCGAGGCTTCCAGTTTGGTAAAATACAGGAATTGTAAATGAAAGATGATAACGGTGAAACCATAATTTCTGAAGCTTACTCTTATTATTATATGGTATTAAAATATAATTTATATCAATATGAAAATTAATATCATAAATATTTATGTGCATTACATTTTTAATTATAAGTAATGATTATGTAAAAAGTTTATTTTGTGATATTCTGCGATAACAAGAACTTTCCCTGAAGAATTATGATTATGTGAACTCTCAAACAAAAAGACTTTTTGGACTGAATGCTGAAAAATTCAATAGGACTTTAAAATTAAAAACTTATTTTAAAAAAATTGAATATTTATAAATTATACTTTACAGGACAAAAATTTTATGATTTATTTATTTTTATTTTTTTTACATTTGCTAGTGTTTTAACTCTTTCTCTTTAAAAAGGCTTCTCTGTCGCTACGCCTTTTTCTTTTGAAGGGGGGAAATATGTAAGATAAAAATATATGAATCAAAATTATAGATTAAACTATAAAACATTAATTCTTCCTCTTTATTCTAAAATCATAATAACTTCTCTGCATTGCGTCATTCAAATTAATCATGCGATCTTACGTAACCACTAATGCAGATGCCTCTTGACCAATCACCAAATAACAAACAAAAACTTTCCTCTTCGCGTGCTTCCATCCTTCATAACTACGCACTTCAGCTTTTGCCCTCTACTCTCCTAGGATGTAATTTCGCTGGCTTGCTTTCCTTCTCAACAATATCAAAAATGTAAATCTTCTGTGGAAAGGCACGACTAGAGTGCCAACTGATTGTGGCCACAAATATCAATTGGAAATAAAAATGGAATTAAAACTGCTTCGACTGCCAAGTTCTTTAGATTTACAGTGTTCCGTCTTTTCCTTTGCTTTTATTATGACATATATATATGTGTATGTATATACATGTACATAAATATTACAAAACTATACTGTATTAAAAGTAGAACATATAGTTAAAACTTCAGATTGTTCAGTAACAACTTGCTCAGCAACATAGTACAAATGCAACATAAATGGATAACTTAATTACATCAAAAGTAAATATTTAAGACGCGTTTATTTTATTTTCACTTTTATCTGCAATTTTTGATAATTCTTGATCAATGCAGTGTTCCCCTCAAATTCAACTTTTAATTTTCCCGTTTTTCTATGATGAAACTGAACAATGTTCTGACCAAACATGATTAAGTAATTAGTAAATTAAGTATGGATTTACTAATTACTTAATCATTAAAGTAATTTATACCCTTACTATAAAATATCACAGTATTAACACATCATAAATCTAAATTTGCAATACTCTGAGTCACTGAGTTAAGCAAACTGAAGAAAGATAAATAATAAATATGAATCTAAATCAACCAAATAAATAATTAAAAGTTTTTAAAAAATAAGTATCTATAACCTAAAAAAAAGTTTTAATAAATGTATATAACTCACAAAAATATTACTTTTATTCTGTTTCAAAATAAAATAGTGACACTACGAATTATGCTGGATGAAGAAATTATTTAATTAATATAGTTATTTATTATATTATAAAACCACATGATATGATGATTTTTAAATAACATTATTTATTTTTGATGCAATAATTGAAAAGTTATATTTCTAAAGAGAAGAATGAATAATAACTCACATATATGTTTCTGAAAGAGGTATAGAATGATAAAATTAAATCTAACCTAGTTGATAAAATATTTTCCCTTAGAAAAATAGAGATTATTATAACGGCTTCTTCAATTCCATTTTTAAGATGGTCAATTTTTGTTTATTTATTGCTATTTAAAACATAAAATTTTAATTATTTGAGAGGACCGATCTTTATTTTTATTTTGCTGATTTTTTAGAAGAAAGTTTTGATTTCACAATATATTCAAACTGCATGTACTATCAAAATTTATTTTCTACATATTTCCACTCCCAAGCAGCACTGATATTGACTAATATTGCAGAGTATCTGATTCCATCAATCCCTTATCCTCCTCTACTTTTAACTGAAAATAATTTGCAGAGCTGCTTTTAAGGCAAGTATACAGCTCAAAATAAATCATTTGGAGTTGACGACAATTATTAGAATATGCAAAACACTGTTTTCCTATGACAATTTGACCAAATGAATAAGCACATGCATGTGAAATTTAGATCAATCACTTTATGATTAAAAGATGCACACTGCTTTAAAAGAAAGCATGGATATTTTTCCACCACCCTTTGAAATTGCAATGAATTACATGAATGATCTCTCATTTCCTAAGAATTAAGCTAAATGACAAAATTCATTAGGTTGTTATGAGCCAAAAAGAAAGAAAGTACATAACATTATAAATGTTGAACATTATTAATGCTTTATTGGCACCTTTTTTATAAGTATTTTATTAGCACTTTATCAATGTTAGTAATACCTTTATGCATATAATTTTACAACCAAACTTCATTCTGTGTTACATGAATATTATAATGCATAATTTGTGAGAGCACTGTTCCATAAAAACAGAATATAAAAATTCATACCATTTCAAGTTTTTTAAGTTTGCCAGTTTGGATAAATTCATCAAGTTTATCTGCAATTTTCTGCCCTATACCCTTCTATAACAAAGAGTAAATTTTTAATTTATTATTTTAAAATTAATATATAAAGCTAAATATATATATACTATATATATATATTTCTCTTACCAGAGCTTTTGCTTCTTTTCCACTAGTAATTTTAACAGGATGTCTTGAAAGAGTACTTGCAGCTGTGCAATACGCATTATACTTATGGATATTTCGACTGACATTCTTTTCATAATCTGCAAGCTCTGTAATAACAACACACAGTTCATATTAAGAAATAAATAACAGTATCTGTACATTTCATGAAACCATTCTGCTAAAATTTTCATCATCTTCTATACCAGGGATTCCCAACTTTTATCTCAATTGTACTCCTTTTTAACTTAATAAATGCTTGCTGATGACTTTGATAGTCATCAGCAAGCTCAGCTCACATTCCAGTAATGTACCATGGTAGATGCAAACTAATGTAGCTTGCATTACAAATTTATGCCTGACAAATACTAAGCGTATTTAGGATGAAAGAATTGTTTAATCTCACAATAAGGGATAAAGAAATGCACTTTTCTCTGTAATATATAGTACACAACAAAATAATAATACAAATAATTGCAGAAAAATAGCCTTAACATTTAGATTAGGAATGTGAAAAGAGTTTTGAAAAAAAAAATAGTTTATTAAATTTATGGTTAGTTATCTTTAATTAGTATTATTAATAATCACTTTCAAATAACAATTACATTAAGAATATGAACAAAAGTTCCGAAAAATTGTTTATTAGCTATATGTTTACTCATTATTTCTTATTATTTTTAATCTTAAAAGTATAAACAAGTTTTCAGAAATAAAATCCAGCTTCTAATTGCACAATAGTTTGATTTTAATAAATGCAATGGCTGCACTTGATGTACTGATGCAATTTTTTGAAATCTGGAATAAAACTACTTAATTTAATTTTTAGAATACTTTGCTCGAAAATATTTGGCCTCTTCCTTGTTTTTCATTCTCCATACTATTTCTGACTGGGTGTCCTTATGCTCCAGCATTTTACTTTTTTATATCATACAAAAATTATATATTAAAAAAAAGTTACTGATTTTTAAAATACATATTAAATAATTTTAATGTATTTTCTCCCTATTTATTTTATAGGATTTTTCCCCCTCTTACTATACAATACAGCTTTATATCAATAAACAACTAATTTTTAGTTTTATTCAGAAAATTTTGTAATTAATACGATCTTGATTACGCCGATCAATTGGCAGTACATATTCAGATATCAACTCCCAATCAGCCATTTCAACATGATTGACCCCCTTTAACATTTCATTGATTCTCCACTAGGTCAATACATATTCTGTTGTCAACCCCTGACCTATACATATCATACTTCAAGCATGCATGATTCATTATAATATTACTAGAAAACCCGGCGGTTTTACAAAATAACTGCTGTTCTAGATATTATAAATTGTAATTAAAATGATTTGTGCAAAGGTGTCTTCTAATTTAAACCGAATTACCCAGGGCAGGCGGCCTTTGCTTACTGCCTCACGGGTTTCATCCTTCTACTTGCTTAAAGTAGAGTGCAATGAAGGAAACCACTGGCGGTCTATTTCTTAAATGCCCACTGCTAGCTTAATCAATAAAGGTGGTTTAAATAATGAAATGTTAATTCACATGTCAAAGATCTCTTTGTACACAACATTTATTATGTACGAGGGCAATCCCCCCAAAAAGGTCTCCTATATTTTTAGATATACAAAGAACCGTTTATTTTCCATAATTGTTACATCACTTTAAAGATTGAAGAATGCTTTATTTTTCAACATAATCACCATTTCGGTCGATGCATTTTTGCAGACGCTGTGGCAGTTTTACAATGCCCATGTCATACCAGCTTGCCGCCATGCCTTTCAGGAAGCGTTGAACCATCATCTGGAAACCTCAGGAACCAAAATGCACAGAGCATCCAGAGTGATCCTCCGATCTTTACGCATGAGTTCCTCAACTTTCGCGATTGTCTCGTCGGCAATTGACGGCCTCCCGCTCTTTTCTTCGTCATGAATTTCAGTACGACCGGTTGTAAACTTTCTACACCACTTGCGAACATTTTTGACATCCATGCATGACTGTCCATACACTTCCGTCAATAGGCGATGAATTTCAACGGGTTTAATGCCTTTTGCGTTCAAAAATCGAATAACTGCTCGCACTTCGCACTAACATTTATCGGGAGCTCCATTTCGAATAGCTGCCAAGCAAAGACTGAGCATCCGAGCGAAGCGCCTGCGTGCTTATGTGGTAGCGGAGGAGGCACCACTCACAACAGTGTTGCCAACAACCGTATTAAAACTTTCTCTACATCTCCAAAAAATAGGAGACCTTTTTTTTGGGATTGCCCTCGTAGATCTTTCCATCATTTTTAAGCTCGCCTTGCAGAGGACCATCAATTATTTTTAATTTTACGTCTGTTCTTTCACGAAGTCTTGAACAAACAACATAAAGTTGACTGTGTCCAAATGCAGGCTCAGGTAAAAAAATGCCAACACGCTTAAGTGTTTGGCCTTAAAACTTATGGACGGTCGTAGCAAAGGAAAGTTTTACAGAAAATTGTCTACATCTCAGTTGAAATGGCAACCCTGTGCCATGGCAATTTCACCCCATTGGCTAGTACAGTTATGCAAGCAACCAATAAACTATCGGCGACAAACAGACACTTAAGCTGCATATATATATGGGGTGAAGTAACATCACCTCCTCCGAAACAACTGGCTCCCGAGCTTAGCGAAGCGCACCGTTGGATTCCGCAGGTCTGTGGCACGCCATTTAGAGCATTCGTGTCTTCTTGGGACTTTAATTAGCCGAGATATTAATAAAAAATTAATTTTTCCCTCTGTTTTCCCTACATTTTCCACTTCTTTCTTGGGCATTCCCGATTACAGAGATTTGGCTACATGCCAAATTCTTTTTTCTCGAATATCAACGGAACGGCGTCGAGTTGAAATTCGAGACACATATCCTCGGATTTCAAACAATTCTCCGAATCCTTCAAAATTGTTCTCATCTTCGTACGACTTTAATCGGCTAAGAAATTAATTAAAAACTGCAGAAACATTAATTTCCGAGCTCATTTTTCCGAGTGGCAACAATAAACTATCGGTGACACACATTTTAGCTGATTATATACAGTGTCTCACAAAAGTGATGGGACACTTGTGCTTTACAAAAGGAAACTGTAATAAAATAAATTAAAAAAACATATAAAAATTTTTTGTGGATGTGTTTCATACTTAAATTTCGTAACAATTATTACATAACCATAGATTTTCTCAAAATATTAAAATGTTAATTTAATAGAAAATACAATTGTTTAGAACAGGAGCAAAAAATGGCTCACATTAAGTGATTGGATACTCACGTAAGTGATGGGGCACTTTACTTTTCCATCAAATATTTATCCAAAAAGTTATTTTACTTTTAAAAGGTTTTAATATTTTGTTGTATTTCCTTTTACTTTTAAAACATGATTTAATCTTCTTGGGATGGATTCGATGAATTTTTTTTTGTGATTTCTGGAGTGATTTTACCCCATTCGTCTTGAAGCACTGATTTTAATTGTTGTTTTGAAGAAATGGTGTATTTGCGAATTCTTGATTCCAATTCTTGCCAAATATTCTCTATGGGATTTAAGTCTGGAGATTGTGGTGGTGTTTTTATTACTTCAGAACAGTTATACAGCAGCCAGAGTCTAATGTTCAAAGCAGTGTGCGTGTGGTCATTGACCTGGTAGAATTTAAAATCGTTATGAACGTTCAATTTTTGCACTGAAGATTTCAAATTTTGATTTAAAATGTCAATATACTTGTACTGATTCATTATACTGTCAATAAAAACAAGAGTACCAACTCCAGCGGACGACATACACCCCCATACAATAACTCCTCCTCCACCATGTTTTACTGTTGGCACCAAGTTCTGTTTTCGAAATTCTTCCCTGGGTTTTTCTCCACACCAAAATTCTACCGTCAGAACCAAATATATTAAATTTACTCTCATCAGGAAATATAACTTCATTCCAGTAATCAGAATTCTTATTTATGTTGGATTTTGTGAAAGCCAGTCTGAGTTTTCTGTTCTTTTCACTTACGAAGAATTTTTTCCTGGCTGCTCTACCGTGATATCCAGCAGATTGAATTACTCTTCTAATAGTCTCAGGTTTAACAAGCAATCTGTCAGAATCAGCAAGTTCTAATTATTTTTTTCCAACTTGAGTAGTACAGTCAAAAGTCGTTAATTCGGACACCCATAATCCGGACCTCAAAGCTAAAAACTTTCTGCACATGCGCCGCTTTGACGCATGCGCGTAGGCGTTTAAGCGTGTGCGTAAGACCTTTACGACTGCGCATTTGCATGTGCACAAGCACAGAATACGTTTTTGCTGCGCGTTTAACGTATAACGGATGGTATAAGCTAAAATTATCTAATTGTCTATTTCAGTTAATGTTGATGATTGCGTTGTTCCTTAATATTCGAATTGGATTCGGCTTATTATTTTTTGCAGACTGTAAGAGCAATTTTATAAAAGTAAGCTTGAACTTTCGATTATGTCAAATAGAATTTCCGATGCTGGAGCTCCCAAAGGATCTACGAAAACGAAAGTATGTTTCGATGTCCATCAAACAAAAAGTGGAATTGCTCCAAAAAATGGATAAAGGCATATCCTTTGTTTATCTAACCGTTCCGAAATCTGTTTATCAATTTCATGCTGCTCTGCGCAGGGGCGGGGGGGGGGATGTGGCGGCGCGCAATGAACTGGAAGTTGATCTGTCAACACTATCGTTATCTTCAGGGCAGATGTTTTTAATTTATTCAGCTTATAATTCCTTATTAAATCTAGTATTTCATCTCGATGTACTTCGTCTTGATATGATTTAAATCACATTCCTCGTCATTATAAATATCATGAATACAAATCAAATGGTTTTCTGGTTGCAATTTTCTAATTTCGGCTATTCATAATGTATGCTTTACGCATGCGCACGTTGAAAGAAATGTTTAATAAAGTAAACAAATAAATATTAAGCTTTTTTTTGTAAATTTTGATGCCCTTTAGATCATAATTGCTCATTATTTTATAAATTACAGTTTCATATTTTTAATTTTATAATTTCTGCATGCCATCTTACCAGATTTAAACTGATGATCTATAATCCGGAAAAATCGATAATCCGGAATCACC